TTTATATTTTTTGGTGTATGTGCATACCAGTTACAGTGATATTGACAGAGTTGCTTCTTTGTGTTCTTCCCATTTCACACCAGTATTCTCCACTGTCAGTTTTCGGATATGCATTACTAATATTGCAAGGCCCAGTAGCTCTATCCCAGGTTGGAGCACATGTTCTAAGGTCTCCATTTATCTTTTTCATCACTCTCCATCCAGTCAGTCCACGTAGCCCTTCACAGCTGATTGTGATAGATTCTAATTCAAAGAACTGCTGTCTGTTTGGAACAACTTCAGGAAAACCTGAATCTAAAACAGAAAATCAAGATATGTTATTGCTTCTGTCTTTCAAAACACAAATGGACAATATTACTATATTTACTGAAACAAATGCACATGTATGTTGTATTTTTAGGATTTTCTTAAATACAGATTTTTTTTCAAAGTTGTATTCTAATGTAATGTTGTGTTAGATTGTATTATCCTTTTGCAGCTGTTGTAGACCAAAAGTAAGTGCAATAGTTGCCGAACCTTTCAAGTTGTCATGAGAAAATATTTACCTATTACATTTTTGTTATAAATAGATCAACATGAATTTTTAACTACTTACTATGTGTTTGAGAGTCACTGAATTCAGCTACTGTAACTGAGATCAACAGCACATTAATCACTGTAGGGATTAAGAATGACAGTTAAACATGTCAACATTTTTGAATATGAAGCATTTAGCACTGAGCAGTTACAAATTCCATAATTAACTCAATAATATTTATAAGTGTGTTTTAGATATGTTAATTTGCCCTTTAATTTCATAGGTGCATTTTTTCAATAGTTGATTCAGTATGTTTGTATAGATAGACAAGGATCAGTACTCACAGACTTTGATATCAGCAACTCTGACCTCCATGTTGTCTTTCTGCTGGCTGTGTGGGTGTCAGACTAAAATGAGGATGAGTTGTTTGTAAGAACTTCCTCTTCCTGTGTTTCTGTCTAGCTCACCGACAGGTTTTAGTCTTCCTGAGACAGAGAAATGCTCTGTGTTTAAAAAAACATCTAAAAGGACATAAGCAGTGTGCATAACAGGATAAACAAGGATGTGGTTTCCACTCCATTTACATGCAATCAAATTAAAAAAGCCCCTAATTCAGCCTAAATGTGATTATTTGATGCACTGTTCTTTGTTTTACATGATTAAAAAAAATTTCTGTTTCTATGCAGCGGAAGAATGTATAAGATCACATAATAATCATGTATATGTAACCCTGCCAGTCCAAGCATCTCCCTCCACCCTGGACTCTGAGTTGTGTGATTGTGGTTTGGATTGGGGCGCACAGTAGAGAGACCAGTCATTCAATATGTGGGTCGGACCACAGCGCTTATTTAGACACTGGGGCATAAACAACTCCAACTCAGCTGCTGGCATCTTAACAACATTTCTTGGTTTCAGGTACATGTATGAGGCAAAATTTACATAACAACACTACTAGCAAACTGTAGTTGAAGAACTAATTCTTCATCTTCTTCATCATTGCATCACTGAGTCCTCTGTTAGCAAGCAGAAGTGTAGCCCCAAATTGCCACAGATATTTCCAAACATAAACACACTCTCATCAGACAGTACATGAACATCTCAATAAATACATTATATTCATAGTTTGACTGGACAATCACCATTTTACAAAGTATAATACTGATTTTTAAACTAAACCCATGTGGAATGCCAAAGATAGGGCTTACTTTGCAAAGTAATCACAGAAAACTCTGAGCCAAGATGGCGCCCTCACAAACAGGAAACTCGACCTAGGGTGTCCTGTAGGGGACAATTGTCAAAATTGCGCAAATCTACAGTGTATATGCAGCTCAACAGTGACACCCTGTGACTTATTATTTGTAAGTCACTACCTTACAAATACAATAAAGATCTTTTATTTTAAACATGATTATGCGTTCTATGTTAAACTTTTATCATTTCAATCCATTGAAATATAAAATGATATGGATGGATTTGTGTGTCCCAGGGATCCCAGGTGCTATGTTGTCTTTGGGACTGCCTCAAAGTAATTTTGGAAAACAGTCAGGCGACTTAGAAGGGGAAAGTGGTGCTCTACCCACACTGTGTAGAGTGCGGGTGGAGTCTCGCTGTCTTCAACTCAGGATATTGTCGGATGGTGGAAGGAGTACTTGAAGTTCACTAACATGTCTTCCGTAGAGGAAGCAGAGTCTCTGGATGAGGTAGATGACTCATCTACTCTGAGGGTAAGGTCACTGAGGTAGTTACACAACTCCATGGTGGCAAGAGGGCTTGGTGTGGATTAGATTTTCCGTGTGTTCCTGAAGGGCCTTTCAGTTAGACTTCTTATGTAGTGGCTTGTTTGTGTAAAGATGACTTCAGAGGCTTTGAGTCTGTGTGTATGTGAACAGGATGGGAAGGGTGAGTGAGTTACACAGCCTGTTTGAATATATTGTAAATGTACAATATATTCAATTGACTATTTTTATTGAGTATATTGTGATCAGCAAACCACAAGTTTTAAAGAGAAAAAGTAAAAGGAGATTATGTCAAAATGGATGCTCATCCGAGAATGAACTGAGGATGAATGTAATTGATGATAAATTTCATAAACTGAATGAAAAATGGAGTGAAGTATATTCATAAGTGACTAAATTTTCAAAAGTAATGGGATTATTGTTAATTCCATGTTAAGTAGAAAATGGAAAAGGAGAAAAAGTAATAAAGTTGTTTTAAAGTTTCAATTTTAAACTTTAAAGTTTCAACTTTAAATCGTCTAAATGCATGTTCAATCATCCAGGTAAGGAAATCCCAAAAAGGTGATTCTGTTCAACTGGACATTTTCAGTGGGAGAAACATTTCGTCACTCATCCAAGTGACACTTTCAGTCTCAGTTGAAGATTATGCAAATGCATTGTTTATAAGGTTGGGGAAACCTGCATTCAGCTGCAAATTGATTTTATATTTTTTGTCTTTTTTTCTCTGCTCGTTTTGCTGTGTTAGAATATAAACTCTAACGGATCCTGATCTTCATTGTTTACTCGAATAACTGAACTAGATCCAGTTAATCCAAGAGCGCCCTAACCCATTCTAGCAAGCCCACCCTACAAGCTACAGAGAAGCAAACCAAAGTTAAAGGCTATTTTCTAAAAGTGCATTTTCTAAAAGGCAAAAAGATCCAATGTACCTGAGTGTGTGGGTAATTCTTTAAGAAAATAATTAAAAAAACAACCATTTTTAGGCATGTATATAAAGTTCAATAATTTCTGCTGTTCAATACCAAAGAATGGTGCCAAAATGCTCCAATGGCAACATGTCTGGCTATGAGTTTATTAAAAGTTTTATCACCTTTTACTGTTTCACTTCAGCAGCATCAATCTTTATATAATGTCCATACATCCGTTCCTGGTTTTCTGGAGTTTATTGTCTACTGAAGCATATTTTCAAAGTGGTTTTATGCAATAAAATCCAAAAATAAATTAGAAGAGGTTAAAACATACTTACTTTTTCTATCTTCGAGCCTCAGTAACATTGACACAATAGAATCAACTATAATATTTACATCTCTGATGAAATCTCAGAAGCAATAGCTTTATTTTAATACCAAGATTCGTTTGTTATAGCAAAGAAATACTGTTCATTTTGTGTGTGGTGTTTTTAAGCAGGAAGCTCAGAAAGACATTTCAGACTCAAATAATAGCCATTCATTTCTGCTGAAGATATTTGAAAGGTTAACATGTGAAAAATTAAATAAAAAGCAGCTTTTTCTAAATCAGTTTCCATGAAATATTTATATTTTTTTTTTATAAATCATGGAATAAATAGTGCATAATTGGTTTCTATACATACAGTGTATACACGGGTGTGTACAGTAAGGAGTATAAACAGCACATTGTGGTTCAGCAGCAGGTATGGTGGATGTTTTAAATACAGACAGTTTAGCCTGTGGAAAGAAACACATGTCAGAGGTTAGGAGCTGTTACAGTGTTCAGTGTGTGACGGGTCTGCAGTGATGATACCTGCTTGTTTCCTGATTGGAGGTCAGTTCCGCAGCAGTGATGTTTTCTGCAGACCTCACTGTCTGCTGTGGTCTGTTCTTGTCCTATTTTGTGGCTGATCCAAAAAAGCAGTGATGGACGAACAGAGAACAGAGAGGATTACTGCAGAGTGAAAATGGATCAACAACTTCAGCTGAAACAGTTCTCTGTCTGCTACGTCTTCATGTTATGACCTCCTCTATCGGTTTGTTACAGAGATTTTCACCATGATGTGAAAGTAGCTCCCAGTCACTCTAATATGCAGTAGTGTTTGAACATGTGTAGCAGGGCTCTTTGACTCTGGCCGGATGCTCAGGGAATATGTGAATATTTGAGCTTCACCCTGTTTTAAAAACACTAAAACGTTTCATGTTTCCTCTCTGTGTCTCAAGTTATCCTCAGTTCATCTCAGCTAATCGTGTCCACTCGTGACAATGATGCCATCCTGCCATGTCATGTTGAGGCCCTGGTTGAGGACCATGAGTGGTGGAGACTGGACCTTCCTCCTGAACCCGAAGACCCACAGAGCCAGCACAGGCATGTGCCCTTTAAAACTGAAACCTGGGAGGACGGAGCTGTTCAAGGATGGCCTGAAAAGCTGCAACGCATTGATCAAGATCAAGAAGGTGGAGCTCTCAGGTGAAGGAATATACAGATGTTTCCTCCCAGAGTTACAGACTCATGTTTTTTTTCTCTCTCTCTGTTAATTAAAAACATTTTTTTCACAGTCAAACGTTGCTAAAACTATGGTGACAACAGCAGCACTGCGATCCAGACCTCTGCAAACAGCAGCTGTGACTGAAAAATAACAAAATTAGGAGGTAAAAATATTCTTTGTAAAGATCACAATAAACAGTGACCTGTTTTGTGCCTTATTCTCAAATAAGTTGGAGCTTTGTAGAAAATATAAATAAAAACAGTGATTTGCAAATCACATAAACTCATTTGATTCACAGCAGAACATAGAAAACACCAAGTGTTAAATTGAGACCTTTTACTATTTATTGAAAAAACATCAGCTCAGTTTGAAGCTGATGGCAGCAACACAAAAAAGCTGGAAGGATAGTTTGTCACTACCTGGCAGCAGGTCAGTAACATGAAATAAAAAGAGGCAGAGCTTCACCTGTCAGCAAAAACCTGTTCCTACTAACCATGGAACAACTTCAGAATAAAAGTGCAAAGACTTTGAGTTCTCCTTCAGTAACGTCTCCTGTGTGGGATGTTCTTATTTTTAGGCGGAGGAGGACTAATCTCTGCTGCTGCAGCAGTGAGTTTCTTCCTCCTGCTGATCCTGGGTGGAGCAGGTGGATAGTGACATAGACAGAGGTCAGTCTCTATCAGAGCACTTTCATCAGATCTTACAGTTTCTGTTGTTCCGTCTCTGCTTTGAAGTTTCTTAAACTTGTGATATTCAGTTGTGTTTTGTTTTAAAGAGAGTGACTCCTGCTCACACACCAGTGTAGAGGCCTTGATGAAGAGAGCCCCAGCATGTGGACACCAACAGCTGGACACAAAGAGTCAGAAGAAGAGATCCTGGAAGCTGCTGAAGAGAAGACTTGAACATTTCCTTTTCAGTAGAAGTTTGGATTTTAGCTTGAATCTTGACGCCAGTCACTAATTAGAAGCTGTGAGCTGATGTCAGAGTCGGGAAATGAAGGAAGGAAACACAGAGCCTGATCTGATTACAAAGACCTCTGATGTTTGTCTTTAAAGGTCAGAAACTCTGCAGCCGACCTGGAGCTACAGGCTGGTTCACCTGAAGACCTCAGAGGCTGAACACACAGAGCTCCAGCTGTGCTGTGTCCTTTCAGTGCAGTAACACAACTGGACACTAGAGGTCACCATTTGATTTAGTGTCAAAACATTAAAAACACTGATGCTGACTTGTTTCACACATGAGTGGGAGCCTCTGCCTCCAGCATATAAACATGTCAAAGAGTGTTTTAAAACTAATCTTATATACTTTACATCATTTTAAATATAATTATTTTCTATTTATGTGACTACATGTGTAGCATACATTTGATTTTTAGTCAAATTCATATAACATACATGATAAATATGAAGTGAAAAAACCTTTTTGATAAGAAAAAGATTATTTAAAAACATTCAGGAACATTGTACATGTACTGTTTTGTATTTAAATGGTTGTAACCTATTACTGTAATGAACAAAACAGAGTCGTGAAGCACGGCAACAGAATTTGAAGCACAGATGAAATATATTTTTTGAAAGTTTGACCATATTTGACCCTAAAGAAGAGGTCAGAGGTCCAGAGTAACCTGATATTTACAAACCCCATGTATCATTCGCTACATGCTGTCAGTACCAACAATGACATAGTTTTAAATAAATGGCTCTATATAACATTATCATTACTCTGACTTTCAGGTTGATCCGTTGAACTTGGGGAGAGGTCAGAGGTCAAATGTGATATGATATTGTAAGTCTTTGTACTTTATAAATGTTGAAATTACACAGCACACTTTTAAGAATCATAATTTTTGACTTTTAAGTTTTTTTGTCAATTTTCAACCAACAACTCATAAAGTTTACCGTGAAGACCTCGATGGATGTAAGCCAGATTTTATTGGATTTTTATAACATGATCCTGCTCTACACCCTACAGAGTTTTATCAGAATACATTCAAACTTTTAGAGCTGTTGTGTTTACAGACAGAATGAAATGCAAATGTTGCCAAAACATGAGCTTCTTGTTGAAGGTACTAAGAAACTCCTGAAACCATTTTGAGCTCGTCTTTGGTTTACACATGATCGGATTCGGCACTGAACTGATGCAATATGCAATCAAGGTCATCCGTCCCTGTGTTCGTCATGCTCAGTGTTTATCTGATAAACACCAAGGAATGTGCAGCAGTGAACGTTAGAAACTGATCTGACTTGAGTGTCTGGTTTGCAGTGACTCGTTAATCATTGTCTCAGTCTTCGTTTCCTGCTCGGCTCCAGCGACTTGTTTCACTTTGAGAGTAACAGATTGAATCACTGTGTCAGCGTCTAGGGTCTTTATCTGTGGTAAGTCTTCTTTTTAATTTGTTTGTTTTCGTTTTTCATTTGTTTTGAGTCAGAGAACAAACAAACAAGAACCTTATAACAAAACACTAAAAATGTGAAAAACAAAGGGATTTTTTTCTCCATGTTACTGAATAAACTCTGAATAAAGTCAGACTGTTGTTTCTCTGTCAAACTGTGAGCACATACAAGATGAAAAATGTCTGTCAGTTGTTAAAAGCTCCCACAAAGCTCCAAATGTAGCAGCAAAAAGCTGTATTATGTTTATAAAGAACTGTTCTTGGAATCGTGCAGAGACCTGCACGTAAAGCAGGACTTTGTCTCATCAAGGTGACTTAAAAGAAACTCTGAGCTTTCAGTTTTAGTCATGTGCTTAAGTTACACTGATACTGAGCAAGTTAATTTTAAAC